ATGATATTGTTCAATAATTTCCACATTCTATGGGATCATCTTTCTTTGGAATGGGTACAAATATGGGTCTCTTCCAGTCAGTTGGCCAGGTAGTTGTCTTCCCAATCTCTTGGCATGACTGAATGAGTGCCTCCAGTGGGGCATCTGTTTGTTGAAACATCTCAATGTGTATTCTGTCAACTCCTGGAGCCTTGTTCTTCACCAATTCCTTCAGTGCAGCTTTGACTTCTTCCTTCACAACATTGGTTCTTGATCATATGCCACTTCCTGAAATGGATGAACATCGACCAGTTCTTTTTGGTACAGTGACTCTGTGTATTCCTTCCATCTTCTTTTGATGCTTCCTGCATCGTTCAATATTTTGCCCTTAGCATCTTTCAATATTGCAACTCGGGGATTAAATTTTTTCTCCTCAGTTCTTTCAGCTTGAGAAATGCTGAGCATGTTCTTCCCTTTAGGTTTTCTAACCCCAAGTCTTTGCACATTTCATTATAGTAATTGGCTTTGTCTGCTCAAGCTGCTCTGTGAAATCTTCTGTTCAGCTCTTTTATCTTGTCATTTCTTCCATTTGCTTTAGCTACTCTCCACTCAAGGGCAAGTTTCAGAGTCTCTACTGACGTACATTTTAGTCTTTTCTTCTTTTCTTGTCTTTTTAATGACATCTTGCTTTCTTCATGGATGATGTTTTTGATGTCATCCCACAATTCTTCTGGTTTTCAGTCATTGGTGTTCAATGTGTCAAATCTATGCATTAGATGGTCTCTAAATTCAGGAGGGATATATTCAAGATCATAGTTTGGCTCTCATGGACCTGTTTGAATTGTCTTCAACTTCAAGTTGCACTTGTATATGTGCAGTTGATGGTCTATTCCACAATCAGCTCCTGGCCTTATGTTGGGTGAAGATACTGAGCTTTTGCATCTCTTCTTGCCACAGATTGTACTCCATCTGGTGAAGTCCACATGTATAGCTCCCATTTGTGTTGTTGAAAAAAGGTATTTGCAATGAATAAGTCATTGGTCTTGCAAAATTCTATCATCTAGTTTCCAGCATTATTTCTCTTACCAGGGCCAAATTTTTCAACTACTGATGATTCTTCTTTGTTTCCAACTTTTGCATTCCAGTCACCAGTGATAATTAACACATCTTGATTGCACGTTTGGTCAATTTCAGACAGCAGAAGTTGATAAAAATCTTCAATTTCCTCATCTTTCACTTTGGTGGTTGGTGCATAAATTTGAATAATTGTCATATTAGCTGGTCTTCCTTGTAGGTATTTGGATTTATTCTATACTGACAGCATTGTATTTCAGGACAGATCTTGAAACATCTTTTGTGATGATGAATGTCATGCCATTCGTCTTCAAATTGTCATTCCTGGCATAATAGATCATATGGTTGTCTGATTCAAAATGGCCAAAACCAGTCCATTTCAACTCACTAATGCCTAGAATATCAATCTTTATGTGTTCCATTTCATTTTTGACAACTTCCTATTTTCCTAGATTCATTCTTCCTACATCCTGTGGTCCTATTATTAATGGATGTTTACAGCTGTTTCTCCTCAATTTGAGTCATGCCACATCAGCAAATGGAGGTCTTGAAAGCTTTACTTTATCCATATCAGTAAGGTTGGTCCTACTCTGATGATACAGCTCTTTCCTAGTCATATTTTGAAAGCCTTCTGACCTAAAGGGCTTGTCCAGATAATGTTTCTGGGCTATTCATAAAGTTGCACATTAACGTATTAGTGTTTGTCTGCTATTCATAAGGTTTTCCCTGGCCAATTCTTTGAGAAGTGGATGACCTCTTCCTTCTTCCCAGTCTGCCTCAGTCTGTAAGCTGCATTGAAACTTGTGCACCATGTGCAGCTCTCCTGGCACTTGAAACACCAATGGCACAGCCTCAAGCCTCACAGTGACACACAAGCCACAATAGTATGACAAACTGACAGGCAAGTTTGTCTCCCTTAGCTGTTCGAAACCTCTCTGGATCCCTGGCTGCTGCTCTGCTTTGAGGGGGCGACAGGTAAGGGGAGGGACCCATGCCCCACCCCCAAGAGGCAAGAAAGTGAAGCCAGAGGGGATGACAGAGCAGATCAGCAGCCAAGTATCCAGGTAAGGGGAGGAACCCAGGCCCCACCCTCAACAGGCAGGAATGCTCACTAACATCCCTCTAAAATTTTGACCACTGATACCCAGTCCCAAAACTGTAACAAGCATACCCAGTTTTCTTGCTTTACCTCCAATAACTTCTCCCCATTTTGTTTCTCGGTTGATAAGCTTGACTCAATTTTACTGCTACAGTGGAATCAATCTGAGGGTAACTTCCACAATGTCCTGGCAGTGTAAACACCCATGTGTCTGCATCTAACAGTTCAAATCCTTCCCTTGCCACATGTCTTGAGAGTATCAATAGAAGCAGGTGAATTGTCTCTCCATTTCATTCCTGTTCTGAAATCATAAAATAGTTTCTTACCTTTTCTCATGATTCCCCCTTTGCTGTGATTTATAACCTCATCTGGCACAATAGACAAATTGCTCATTTTATTATCTTTCATGACCTGGAAGGATATGTGCTTGAGGACTGAGTTGAGTTCTTCTGGACTTAGCTTCTTGCCCAAGAACTGGCTGAGTCTCTCTATACTGCCCTTTAAGTCCTAGAATAGTAAACAAGAAGGAGAGGGCATGATGTGAAATACTACCAAGAAAGAAGAACAAGACTAGGAAGAGAAGGACAAGGATGAGGTGGACAAAAATGAAGCAGAAAGAGGGTGAGTTGGGTGGGCTCCTTTGGAGGTGATAAACATCAGGAAGAATGCATTGGACAGAAATGGAAACAAAGGGCAGTTGGAAGCTATGGAGGGGGAGAAACAAGATGACGATACGGTAAGGAAACCACGATCAATATGAACCCCTCTGTGCTTAAGTCCACAGCAGTCTAGAAATAAGAGGGAAGGAATAGAATTTCCAAGGACATTATCCAGATGGATTTTATGCACACAAAGTTATTAGAGATAAGAGATAAGAATTGTACCACATCAGATGAAATTAATCTCCTGTATGAGCATGTGTTTAAGTCATGTCTGTACTGTTATAACAGTTTTTAATGACTTGCATTTGAACAGCATATCAAGTTGTACACAACTTGGTTACATGTTATCAGAAGCATTAGCACATGTGTAATCTGAGAATGAGAGGTGGGACCGTGCTTATAAGAGAAAGCTCTTTAAGGCCAAATAGACTGTTTAAATTTCATCTGTGGTGCAATGAGTTCCTTGATGTGGTTTTTTGCCTTGGTTATTTGGGGAAGAAAAAAAAAAAAACAGCGTGGTAGGTTTCCCCACTAAGCCCTGAGGAGTAACTTTTGCCCTATTTCTTCAAGCACCACCTTGGGCTGGAAAGGTCCTCGAATTTTCTTCTACCCAGAAGTTGTTAATTTTGTCCAAAGGATTTCACAGTTTGATTGACACTTCCTGGGCAAGCTATAAACAACTTGATGGTTTGATCCTTTTTTTCTTGTAATTAACAAGACCAGAATAAATCAACATCTCATGGTTAATTGAGGATTGGTTGAAATCAGGTCTGGTAAAGCAGGCCTTGCCTAGTAATGGGTGAGAATTGAGATACATAAAAGGCTAAGATGCAGAAGTTTGAGGAGGTTCCTGGTGGAGAGAGAGAGGCTAGCTAAAAGTGGGCTGTCAGAGAAAAGAGTCACATGGAATTGAGTGGATCTGAAGCTGATACACTGGGCTACAAGCTGGGCCAGAAGCAGAAAGCCAATAGCAGGAGGCCTGATGCTGGAGACACCTGATGGCAAGAAGCAGCTGACCCAGCTGAGCAAGCCACCACACTGGCAGTGAACTTGGCCAGTTAGCAGTGGAGAGGACTGCGGTGGAGGCCACCAGTGGACTGGGTGGACAGCACAGAGGCTGATGGCAGAGCATTGTTGGTGGAGAGCAGCAGCTGAGGAGCTCAGTGGGTGCCACACTGGCTGGGACCGGGCCGGAGAGTGGCAGAGAGGTCAATGGCCCCTGCAATGAATTAGCAATCCCTGTGAAGAAGGAGAAGGAGCAGGTTGTGTTGTGTTTACAGCATTTGGCTGCTAACCAAAAGGTTCATGGTTCAAACCCACCAGCTGCTCTGTGGGAGGAAGATGAAACAATCTACTTCCGTAAACATTTATAGCCATGGAAACCCAGTGGGGGTCACTATGAGTTGGAATCAACTCGATGGCAGTGAATTTGCTTTTTATGTAGAAGTAAAGTGTGCCATGGGGGGAACAGGTGGTGTCAGAAATTAGATTATTGTGACATGGTACACATGGTACGTTTTTTGAAAAATGGTTACCTGGTGCAGCTCCTCATATGAAATTATAAAGACATTCTCTTTTCCTTTCATTGACAGCCATCCACGAATATGGTCAAACCATGATCCAAACGGTGCTGCAAGTGAAGTGGAGAGAAAAGCTGACTGCGTGGTTCCCTTGTGTGTGTTCCTTTGCTCCTATATTCTGCCTCATTTTGTGTAGGTCTAAATATTTGGGGAACAAATAAGTGCGTTGTGGAAATTCTTTTCTTTTTGCCCTATTTTCGTGGATAATAAAAAAACAAAGAAAAAAAAACTATTGCCATCAAGTTCACTGTAAGTCAGGGCAAACTCGTGTACTAGAGTAAAACTGTTTCTCTCTCTCTCTCTCTCTCTCTCCCTCCCCCTCCCTGTCCCTCTCCCTCTCTCCTCCCCCTTACTTCCTTCCATTTTTATTTTTTCACTTTTCTTATTTTGATGAAAACAAGCACATGCCAACGTTTGCCTGTCCAGTGATTTCTAAATGTAGCGTTCAGTGAGACTGTGTTCTTGGAGTTCTCCACTGTGCTCACGCTCCTTTTCCATGTTATTTCACCATCATTAATGTAGCCACAAAAATTCCCCTTTCTCCCTCCCACCCTTGGCAACCACTACAAATGTTGTTTTCTGTATACTTGCTTGTTTCGTGGAAGTAAGTGAGATCGCACAGTGTTTTCTTTTTCTGACAGACTTATTTTGCTCAGCCTGTGTTTTTTTTTTTTCTTTTTTCCAAATGATTTTGAGTTTTGTTCCACATTGTTCTCCCTCTCTGTCAAGGATCCCCTACATAGATCCCCTTCCAAGTGGTTGACAGTGGTAGCTGGGAACCATTTAATTCTCCTGGTCTCATAGTTGTATAGGCTGCAAATCTCATGGTGTACCAGTAGCTAGGACTAATTGTTTCCACGAATTTTTGGTTTTCTTCTTTCTTCTTTAGTCTGGATGATGAGAGACCCATCGTTGCATCTAGATGGCTGCTTACAAGCTTTTAAGATTCCAGTCGCTACTCGCCAAAGTAGGAGGTGGAACAATGTTTTGTGTAGTATGTTATGCCAATTGAGCTTGATGTCCCTTGCAACTATGGTCCCAAGCCCAGAGGTTCAACTACTTGCTCCCTCTGGGTAGCTGGCTATGACCAAGCAGTGACTACCACCTTGTCTCTTGTCAGCTCTACTATACACCTGGGAATTCAGAACATACAAATACACTTATAGGACCATTGTCTGCCAATCCTATACTTGGTCTTGAGTACACTCCCCACTTCATAGACTTACTAATAGTTCAGCCCATCCACCCATCTATCCACCCATATACCCATGTTTGCCTTCACTGACAACACAGTACTGTATGTGCAAAAGGGTTCATCTTTGTTGTCTACCCCTCCTATGTACCTCTCTATGCCTTCTTCTTCCTCGATGCCACCATGTCCATCACACATTTGATACATTGCCCTTCTCTTCACCCAAATCAATACTTATCTCTACCTATCTAACAGTGTTCCCTACCATCTCCTCCCACCCCTGGTAACCAACAAAGAAAATTTCCTTCCATAGATAAACTTTGCTTGACTTTTACAATAATGGATAAACAATATATTAACAATGTATTAACAATATTTTTCTGTCTGTGATTGACTAATTTCACTCAGCATAATGTCCTCAGGTTCATCCATGTTATGCGGTGTTTTGCAGATTCTATGTTATTCCTCAGGATTGCATACTATTCCATTGTGTGTGTGTTCCATAGTTTAGTTATCCATTCCTCAGTTCATGAACACCTAGGTTGTTTCCATCTTTTGGCTATTGTAAATAGGTGCTGCAATGAACATGGGTGTGCATATGTCTGTTCTTGTCATGGCTCTCACTTCCTTAGGATATATACCTAGTAATGAAATAGCTGGGTCAAATGGTATTTCTAATTCCAACTTTTTAAGAATCACCATACTGCTTTCCACAGTGGTTGTACCATTTTACAGTCCCACCAGCAGTGTATGAGAGTCCCAATCTCTCCACAGCCTCTCCAGCATTTGTAATTCTCTGTCTTGTTAAACTTTGCTGCTCGTGCTGGGGCAAGATGGTATCTCATTGTTGTTTTGAGCTCTGGTAGCATAGTGCCTAAGGC